AGAATGAAAAAAACAAAATAACGACCCACCTGTGCATCACTGTCGTATTAAAGGAAAGAACAGTGTGTGAGACAGAGAATCTCATTGCCCTCTGCCAAACTGATACATACTTTCTGGATCTGGAAACTGGTGGAAAGAACTCCTGTTGGCTGCTGGACCATATGAACAATTGCTTGAGCATCTGCTTATAGAAGGAGCATTGCTGTGCAGTCAACATTATCATAGATCATTATCATAGATTTACTCCCCTGTTCCCTGCTTAGAATCTCAAGGGTATGAGAACCAAAAGAAGTCTGACTGACTGTGAAGATGAGGCAAAGAACTCACTGAGTACCTCAGCCCTCTCCATGTCTGAGGAGGCCACCTCTCCCCTTCTATTTATCAGAGGGAGAACACACTCATTTGCATGTCTGTTCTGCACAGTGTATCTTAAGAATCCCTTCTTGTTTTTTACATTGTTCTCCAAGTTCAGTTCCATCTGCACCTTGGCTTTCCTGATCCCATCCTTGCACACCTAGACAGCATCCTTATTTTTTTCCCAAGCCAATTCCATCTGCACTTTGGCTTTCCTGATCCCAGTCCTGCACATACAGGGAGCATCCTTATTTTCTTCCCAAGCCTCTCATCCCCACTTCCACTGCTTACACGTTTCCTTTTTTTTCCCCCTCAACCTAGCCTGCTGGAAAGACATTCATCTTTATAGTTGATATCTACTTTTACTGCCTACAATTTACGTGCAGCACCCTTGCATTTCATTTAACTACATTCCTTTTTCAATCATTGTAAATATAGGTAACCAACAGGTATATTGAAAATCACAAACTTTCCATGGGCTGGAAAATTCTGAAAAATGCAGTAGCAGAAGACAAATCTGACTGTTTGATGGATTAGGAATTGGCTGGCTGGTTGCAGCCAAAGGGTTGTGATCAATGGTTCTGTGTCAGGGTGGAGGCTGGTCACAAGCGGTGTCCACCAAGGGTCAGTCTTGGGACTGGTGCTCTTGAGCATCTTCATCAGTGACATAGATGATGGCATCAAATGCACTCTCAGCAAGTTTGTGGATGACAACATGCTGAGTGATGCAGTCGATACATTGGAAGGGAGGGAAACCATCCAGAGGGACCTGGGCAGGCTGGAGAAGTGGGCCCATGAAAACCTAATGAGGCTCAACAGGGCCAAGTGCAAGGTACTGCACTTGGGTCAGGGCAATCCCAGGTATTCATACAAACTGGAGAAAGATCTCCTTGAGAGCAGCCCTGCAGAGAAGGACTTGGGGGTCCTGGTGGGCAAGAAGCTGGACATGAGCCAGCAGTGTGTGCTTGGTGCCCGAAAGACCAACTGTGTTCTGGGCTGCATTAAAAAGGGGGTGGCCAGCAGGGAGAGGGAGGTGATTGTCCCCCTCTACTCGGCTCTTGTGAGGCCCCATCTGCAGTGCTGTGTCCAGGCTTGGGGCCCCCAGTACAGGAAAGACACAGAGCTTTTGGAATGAGTCCAAAGGAGGACCACTAAGATGAACAGAGGGCTGGAGCACCTCTCCTATGAGGAAAGGTTGAGGGAACTGGGCTTGTTTAACTTGGAGAAGGATCCAGGGAGACCTCATTGTGGCCTTCCAGTACTTGAAGGGAGCATATGAACAGGAGGGGGAATGACTGTTTACAAGGGTGGATAGTGATAGGACAAGGGGGAATGGTTTTAAACTGAGACAGGGGAGGTTGGATATTAGGAGGAAGTTTTTCACACAGAGGGTGGTGATGCACTGGAACAGGTTGCCCAAGGAGGTTGTGGATGCCCCATCCCTGGAGGCATTCAAGGCCAGGCTGGATGTGGCTCTGGGCAGCCTGGTCTGGTGGTTGGTGACCCTGCACATAGCAGGGGGGTTGAAACTAGATGATCAGTTTGGTCCTTTTCAATCCAGGACATTGTATGATTCTATGAATCTGCTTGAGACTAGCAGGTACATTATAAATTTATTTTTGGTCTGTAGAACCCTAGAAAATTTCCAGTGATGGTGCTTACAACTTTAGGAATTTCATTACAGTGTAATGGTGAAATAAATGCAATATTTACAATAGCACTTTTCTTCATCATTCTTTATAACAAAGTAGTCTGCAGACTTTCAGAGAGCTGTAAACTCCAAGCTGAATGTCATTGAACTAAACTTCATGTTTTAAAAAAGAATTGTTCTTTCTACTCTCGCTAAGTTAAGTGGATTTTTTTTTTTTTTTTTTTTTTTTTAAGCTTGTGTAAATATATCTTTGCAACCTTTACTGTAAGCTTTAAGGCACATTCTGGCAGCAGCAACATTCTCACTGCCTAATTGGGAATGTTGCCTGGACTTGACACGTATGATCAGGGGTTTAATACTGCTCCTGATGTGAAAATTTTTGCTCATCATAAAACAGCTTCTTGGGAAGTTGCTTTTCTGTCTGTTTCCTGCTTGCGTTTTAAATGTGAGTGTACTTGTATGGAAATCCCTTTGTATTATCAGGTTGTCTCTAGGGCGGTTTTAGATCTTGACGACCAGAAGAACTTCCTGCCTAGGAAGAAAACTTGAATAGATCAGCAGTGGATAACGGAAAGCTTGCTTTTCTCTTTAGGAGGTTCCTGTAACGGACTGTAAAAAGAGGTATTCTTAGATGTCTAAATTCACATCTTGTCAAGGAGAAAAATATATTACATTAATGAAATTGCAAATCAAAGATAATTTTCACTGATGTCTGTTCCCCACATAGGTTTCTAATTCTGGAAAGACAGTTCAGTCAGTGAAGCAAATTAGTCTGAAAGCAATTAACTCTGTATTGTCTGAAAAGTCGTTATTCAGTCATACTATGTATGATATTCACAGCTTGTTCACCATTCTCCCCATCTTGTATCTCACAGAAAGATCAGGAGAATCCTATAGATGAGCTGTGGTTTATGAATGCCAAAAGATTCTGTGAAGCAGGAGAATGAAATGAACTCAAATGATGTGATGAAAGAGCTGTTTAGATACTACAGTGATGACAGCAACAGAAGACCTTGTACAGACATAGAAATGCAGTAGAAATAGAAATGGTTTTCCTGCAGTCATTCTGCTAACAGAGAATACATGCCAGTTTGAATAATTCTGCATAGCAATGAGCAATGAGATATCACATTATAGTTTTAGACACTCAGAGAAAATAAAAGAAAAATTAAAGTTGCCTGTCTACTGTTAACAAAGCTGGAGAAATCTGGAAAGATGTGTTCATTGATTTGGCTGAATGTGGCTGAACTAATAAGTTCAATTAAATTTCAGAACAAGGTGACCAGGTTTGATTTCCAGGGTCAAAAAATAGATGGAGGCAATTGGTTGATCATCTTCAGTAATTTCCACTTTTCCTAAGTTGTTTGTCAGAATCATCTTGCAAAAGTTATCTCTTGTCTGAGATTAAAAGCTAAACCAGTGGTAGGGACCTCAATTTCCTTAGAAGTATTTCAAGGCTGAACAGTATGAACTACAGAATATATTCTTTATTTGAAGTCCTTTCTACATTTTTCACTTCTCATCTTTATGGAGCTGTTCCTTGATATTTGTTTCTGGGCCACGCGAAACAATTCCTTTCCAGTTATTCTTAACACACACCAAAATAGATATGTTTTTCTCTTTTTAATATTTTCATTTTAGTGTTTAGGAACTGTAATCCTGCTATTTTACGTGGCTATAGGTAGTATTCTGACAGCTGTCCTGCTATGACTGTCACTGAGATTATTAACTTGTGTGTATGTGTGCAGTTCAGTCCCATTGTGTGCTCTCAATGTTTTGAGTAGTTATTTCCTGCCAAAATATGGCTTTCCATTATCTGATCTTTCTGTCTGGCATGTAAAACAGTGGATCTGCTTGGACTTCAAGTAAGTGGAAAGAGTGGAATTCTTCCAACTGGCTGTAGATACTTGCATCTGAGCTGTTCATCCAGGCCTCTCTACAGTTAGTATTATGTTACTGATGAATTATGAAATATTTCACCTTGTCTTAGATTTCTAAACCAGGTCAGCAGAGAGTAGCTTGGAAGTGCCAGTTCCTCTCCAAAGGCTATAGACAAAACTTAAGACAGCTATCTCAGATATCTGCATAGTAAGCTACCTTAAGTGAGATCACAGAAACACAGAATCATAGGGGTTGGAAGAGACCTCTAGAGTTCATAGAATCATAGAATCACCAAGGTTGGAAAAGACGTCCCAGATCAGCCAGTCCAACATTCTACCTATCACCAATATTTCCCACTGAACCATGTTCCTCAGTACATCTAAACATCATTTCTTGAACACCTCCAGGTATGATGACTCCATCGCCTCTCTGGGCAGCCCATTCCAGTCCCTGATCACTCTTCCAAAGAAGAAGCTTTTCCTAATGTCCAACCTGAATCTCCCCTGGCACAACTTGAGGTCATTCCCTCTGGTCTTATCACTAGTTGGGAGAGAAGGCTGACGCCCATCTCACCACAACCTCCCTTCAGGTAGTTGTAGAGAGCGTAAGGTTTCCCCTAAGCCTCCTCTTCTCCAGATAAAGAATCATCTAATTGTCTGATCCAGCTCTCTGCTATAGCAGGTTCCATTTTAGGCAGCCTGTTCCAGTACTCTGTCATCCTCAGAGTTAAAGCAGTTTTTCCTCATGCTTGTATGGAACTTCTTGTGTTACAGTTTGTGCCTACTGCTCCTTGTCCTGATGATGAGCACCACTGAAAAGAGCCTGGCCCCACCAACTTGACTCCCACCCCTTTGCTATTTACAAGTGCTAATAAAGATCCCCTCTCTGTCTTCTCCTGCATCCCATTCCAAATACCTTGGTTAGATCTGCCTTTGCAAAAAAGGCATAGAATATTACTATTCTGACTTTGTAAAGGCATGGAGGTCATGAAAGACCTCAAGATGAAAGAATGAAGTAGCGTTCCTTCTCATTGTTGTTCGTATTAAATGCTTGATTCTTTCCATCAAATTTGAAAATTTGAACATGGTAATAACTATATATTTCTTTTCTTCAGAACTGAAAACAAAACAACCAAAGGGAAAAGAAAAAGGACAATCAAGGAGAAGAAGGGCAAGTGCCATTCTGGTCTTTTGCGTGGTTACTGCAGTCATTGTGACCATTGGTGTGATCTTTGTCATAATCTTTATAATTCTTCACTGGTAAGTGGATAACATACAATGTGTTTTATGTGTTACTTCATCAAAATATGCTATTATTGGTGACAAAAATGACCTGGGCTAAACTATTTCAAGGTTCTGTGTAGTTTAATATTTATATTGCCAGTAAAGAGAGACAAGCAAGCTTTTGAAGGCTGGGTGGAAGTACCTTTCAAAGCAGTTACAGCGACTGCGGATGGGAAGGGAATGATTCAGAGCAATTTATGTAAACCTACTTAAATGTGTGTTTTTGGTGTTGTTTTTTTTTTTTGTTTGTTTGTTTGTTTTTTGTTTGTTTTTTCTATTTCAGGGCTGTTGTCAAAACTGGTTTGGTTTGTCAAGATGACAAATACAAAAAACGGACCAACAAAAGTGCAGTGAATACCTTGGAATAAGTAGGCACTTGTTCAGAGTCAGTGTTGGCTTTCAAGGTGTTGGAGTTCCTGCACGTGCGTCTACTGTGATCTCACTAACTTCATTAGCCATAATACAAGAAGTGCCAGAAGTCCTTCCAGCATTTGCATAATGAATAAATTTAATAAAAAAAAAGAAAAGAAAAATATATTTTTTAAAAAAGATCAGATTACACAGAAGCAGTATATAAAGATATTAAAAACAAAACAAAACAGGAATACTTTTTACAGTTTATTCACTTAGTTTACTGAACTTCAAATAAAATTATAATAATCATCCTATTTTATGGTATATATCCAATCTAGGTAGTGTAATAGTTTGAGCACCTCTAATTTGGAGAATTAAAGCCAAATTTTGAGGAGGAGATTGAAAAGAATATATTTAACATCTCTTATATTGATGGCAGTGTTATTCTAGACTATATGAAACTGAGTATACAGCCTAGGTAGAAACTAGGCAAAAACAAAGTGTTCTTAATCTTCCTGATGATCTTCAACTACAGAACCTCATATATAATCACTGTAATCACTGTAATCATACTTCTAGACATATGGAAGGGTATGAAATGGTAGGGAAGATTGATAAAATTTTCTTTTTAAGCTTCATTAATTTTTTACCTGCACACTTGCATGTATAATCATTTCTGCCATCCAAGGGACCAAAACATGTGAATAGAAGCATAGCCTAGTTCAGGCCAAGGGTTCATGTATGTCAGTCAAATCAATAGACAAAGGATGTTGAGGGAGGAATACAGGAGCAAGTCAAAGTTGCATGATGTTTTTCTCACATATTCTTCCAGCTTCCCGCCATTTACAATTTTTTTTTTTCTAAGCAAGATGCATTTTCTAAGCAGTTAGCAAACTGGCATGAATTTCTTTTTAATTACATTGTTCAATGTTTCCTTGTACTTATATAAGCTTCTCTCACATAAAACATCCTATGATGAGGAAATATACAGTACAACCATATCTTTTGTCCATTGTCGACCTGCTTCCTGCTAGTTTCATTTGTTTCACTTCACTTCTTTAAAAGGCAGCAAATATTAGTCAGTACTGTACCTCTCCCTGGAAAGGGCATCTTCTAGGTCTCCAAAATATTCCCAGGTTATTTACTTTCTAGACTGAAAAATTTAAGCTTTCTTAGTGATTGGTCATCCTGAAGCTCTACCATGTCTCTGACCATCCTTGATGACTTTCTCTAAGCGTCCTCAGTTTTGTTACTGTTAAGTTTATGAAGGTGCCTTCTATTTGTGTAAATAAACATTGTTTGATATAAATAAATGAAAAACAAACTGATGACATTGAAAAATGGACTGTGGACTGAGTTAAAGGTTTAATAGATTTCATGATCAAGCTTTTTTCTTGAGTATAATAGACACACTGAACTATGGCCAAATACTTAGCACTTCAGGTTAGAGAAAGCTTCTCAGTAAAGAACATTACGAAAAAAAAAAATAAAAAAAAAAAATCAGCCAAAATAAAATAGATTGGAGGTAGTAACTCATCCTTTCAAAGAATACTTATTCTCTTCAGTTCCTGTACTGCTGCAGATGTTCTAACTGCACCATCTGCACATCCTTAAGAAAGCATTATCATATTTTTTCAGAGATACATCATTTTGTTTGCTGTTTAGTGAAAAGATCATTTACATTTTTGCAAATAAAACATCATATTCAAAAATGATGTGCACTTAATTCTGTAAAAATAACTTTTTTAAAAGGAAATGATATTTTTGGTAACTCTCATTAGCTATGTCATTTTGTATCATGGGGTAGACAAATGTAAAAATTTTGCAACATTAAGAAGAAAGTAGATAGAGAAGGAAGGAACAGACAATAATGATTTTGCAGCTTGCAATACTAGATTACACAGTCCACGTGAATTTATGATCCCATGCAATTAAAGACAGCCTATCATGGTGAGGCTGGGATTAGACCTTAAGTCTCAAAAATAGGCTGGGTCTCCAAAATAGGCTGAAACCAGTGGTTATTATTCAGGGAAGTGTTCCCATGGAAGGTATGATAAAAATGAATTCCTACCACCAGCTCTGGGATTGACTTCTGAATTCATTGCAGTCATGCAATTTAGGTGTGCCACAACTGAAAGAAAAAGGGAGAACTAGAGTACTATTTTTCATAAGGATGCAAAAGTGTACTGTTCCACAATCATTTTGTACAAGGGCTGCCTTTGAGGTAACGCCTCTTATTTTGTTTTGCTAGCCCACCATGTCAGAGGCTGAAGTTGGTGGTATGGCAGTAGAGGTTGAACCTTCCCATCAGTATTCTGTTACATGTTGTTGCCTTGTGACAAATGGCAGCAGAGAGGCGGTCTGACACAATGGCGTCTGACGTGGAGGCGTGGGTGAAGCAAAGGTGTGGCACTGAATTCCTCTGTGTGGAAAAAAATAACACCCATTGTCACTCGTTGATGCTTGCTGAATGTTTATGGAGACCAAATGGTGGATGTAAGTGAGGCAGTGGGTGATGTGTTTCAGCAGTGGCGACGGTGACTTGAATGCAACTGCCATGTTCTGGATGGGCATGTGTTGCTGTCACTCCATGAAATGAAGAGCATCTTGATCAACTCATCCATACAAATCGGCTAATGGTGATGACTATGTTGAAATTTATTGTTTTGTAGCTGAGAATTTGCTCTGTCAAATAGTGTTATTGTGCTCTTTCAGAGCAAACTGCATCTTTTAATAACATTAGCAAAGAATCTTCAGTCTTATTTGGGTTGATATTTTGAAGGTGGTTTGCTAGCAAATCCACCAAGAAGTAACAGACATATAGTTGGAGTATTCAGAAAATGAAATTTAGAAAAGGCTGAGCTAATCCATACTGGTGAACGTGGGAAGCCTTAGAGCATTAAAGAGTTTTTGCTGTTTATTGGCTTGTATCTTTTCACTCTTTTGTAACTCCTGAAAGCTTCCTGAAATACAAAAATAAAACCTCTTATAAATTAGATGCAAAAATGCGAAAATGTGGAAGAACACCCTGCTGCTCACCAGATAAGATAAAGAGGCTGTTCTGTCATCAAAGCTGAAATCAGAAACTCCAAGAAGTGAGGAAATTCCTGAAGTTAAGATTACTCTGGCCAAGCAATCATCACACAGCCACCATATTATCATTTTCTCACCCTAAATGTAAGCCTGAATAAATCACTCTTTGAACTAGATGCAGTATAAAACATATAGGAAGTGCAAAATAGTCACCTTAACATAACCCTCCTATTTATTTCTGTGGAAAATACAACAGATACAAAGAGTACAATAACATTATTAAATAGAGCAAATTATCAGCTATGAAACAATATCTTTCAGCATAGTCACCGCCATTAACGATGCATTTTTGACAGCAGTGAAGAAGTCTGCATGCTGTGCTTGTAATAAGCCTGCCCGGCCATTCAGAGCGTGGCTTGTCATTTGTGTTGCTGTCACCACTGCTGAAACACATCACCCACCGCTTCACTGTGCTCACACCCACTGTTTGGTCTCCATAGAAGCATCAATGAATGTCAATGGGTGTTATTTTTTACCAAGTAGAGGAATTCAACGTCACACCTTTGCTTCACCCACACTTCCATGTCAGACTGCCATTGTGTCAGACTGCCCCTCTGCTGCCATTTGTCATAAGGCAACAATACATAACAGAATACTGGTGAAAAGATTCAACCTCTACTGCCAACCACGTCTGACATGGTGGGCCAACAGAACAAGGTAGGAGGCACCACTTTCAGAGCAGCCCTCAGAAATTTATTAACAGGCATTTTTAAAGAGATGAAGAATATCTGCTGAAATACTTATGGCCAAAAGTGTTCACCATCTCGGATATGTACCAGTCCCCTGTGCAACTGCTTTTATCTGCAGTGCCCAAGAAATACAAAGAATATTGTCCTTGTTACTTTCTGGCAGTGGATTAATTAAAATGACGTACAAGAGTTTCTCCTTTTCTGCAGATTCAAGCACAATATTTCTGTCTTCTCTAGCTTACGGACTGCAGTGGAAACCTTACCTTTACTGCTCACCCCAGGGTATAAAGCATTATTCTCAGACCTTAGGTTTGTGTCTAGCTCCTGCTAAAGCCAGTGCCACTGGAGCTCTGAAGCAAGATGTGCGGCACTTCTAAGGGGAAAGAACAGAGAAGAGAGTAGGGGAAGGGGCAGAGGTCACGTAAAAATATCAGTGTGATCTCAGGAGTTTACGCTGCCTAAAAGAGTTTTTTGGCCAATGCAGCTGAGGCAGCCTCCATGCTCGGCTCCATGAAGTGTGATCTACACAGAGATCCCAGCACTCTGCAGGCTCATGGCTTTGCCTGAGCCGTCCCTTTGGGACGTCCTCCTACTGGCACACACAGCCCAGGGAGAAGGTGAAAATCTCATCGTACTTAAATGTAAGCTGATACTGTTTGTTTTTTTTTCCCAAATTAAGAATTTCTTGCACGTGCGTTTTAGTGATTTCCTGAATCAGGGTCAAGATGAGATGCCAACTCTTGATTTTTAGGGGATATGGTTAGTGGGTATGGTGGTGATGGGTTGGTGGTTGGACTAGATGATCTTAGTGGTCTTTCCCAGCCTTAATGATTCTCTAATTCACTTGCTTTGCATAGGTTAATATGGCTGCATAAGCTTGTGGGATTTGTTTTAATTTAACAGAATTACTGATATTTCCCAACTGTTCTTTCAGCTCCCTTTTCTTTTTCTTCTTAAAGAAAAATCTTTTTGGAATGCATAGCTTGTCTGCATGGGATCCGCCATCTGTCTCGGGAAATTTAGGATGCGTTTGTGTAGTTATTTAGGTCTTGATGTATGTGCAGTTTCTTTTATATATGGTCTAATGGTGTATGCCATAGACATGAATTTTTTTTCTGTGACAGCTTTACTGTCTCTTTTTGGAAATGAAATTTTTATGGTGAGTTGCAAAGGTTTTCATTATTTCTTTATAAATTCATTTAGTAGAACACACTTAACAAAATAGTAAGTAC